GGTGAATGGCAGAGTCGGGAAGGGTCGCCCTAGGCGAAAGTTTATCGACCAAATTGGCGATATATTGTAAATGGGCCAAATCAAGAGTACCTTTAACCGACGAGCGTGTATGCGTAGGTATATAGATGTGGAGGAAGCGAGAGAGGTGTGTCAGGATCGTGCCAAATGGAAGCACATAGTCTCTGCCTACCCCTCTGGGTGACAGGCGTGAGTATTTATGTATCTATGTATGTATGTAAAAAGGCTCATTGGTGAATTACAGTAACAGATGTCTTCCGATTTCACCAGAAATAGCCGTCCTATTAACTTTAAGGTGTTTTGCCACAGCATCATTTTAGATATGTACATATTGTATATTTATTTAAGTTGGCATAATTTATTTCATTACTTAAATTAATATAATATGTTAAATTTCAAAGTAGGTAATGAGGGCAACTACTATTTGTACGATTTGTAAGATAAAATAAATGCCCTGACTAGGTACGTGCTGCTATGGAAATTCAGATTATGTTAATTATGTACGTTGATGTATAAAAAGTGATATTTGTAGCACTACAATTACCCACCTGGCTAGATGCGTATGGACTAGCGTTGTATTCTGCAGTTATTTTGCTGCAGGCCTCATTTTTAATACGTAGAGTCGTGCCATCGGTCTCCTTATTTTCCATCATAGCCCTATATTTTTTTTATTATTCCGGGAAACATTTTTTTCTCGATCGGAGTAAATACATGCTTCTTGCTTTCCATGTTTGTGTAAATTAAATTTCCCGCGAGATCGAAGTTAAGTAATCAAAATGTTTTCCAGTGTCAAAAATGATACGTCAGTATTATATTTCGGAAACATCGTGAGGAAACCCGCACATCTGATAATTTCAAAAAATATTCAAGAAACATGTGAAGACCAAGGCATTATCCACCATGCTGTAACTTCACTTTCAAAATTTGTTACGAAAATATAGATATTTCTCTTGTCACCATCCTGGTTTACTTTTCCCTGTGTTGACTCTTAAGACACCCAGGATAGTGGAAATTGTGATGGATCATATTATTATTATGATATTATATTTATATTATAAAATAATAGTTATGTTATAACGAATTTCTACAAGAATCTGACATAATCGCTTTTGTTTAAGCCTTATTAAATAAATTACTTGTTGGAAATAATTTTCCTTACCATAATTTTCCAGATACATATATTCATTAAATTTATATTGCGATATTTGATGTCAATATAACAAGAGAACGTTCACAAGGATAAAAGCCTGGGTATCAAATTCACCAGCGATTTTACAGTAATATATCAATTTAATGAAAATACGTCACCTAATTTTATATTGTTATTTAACTAATATCACTTTCAATAATCATCTCTGTCGTTCTATGTTTTTTGATTACTGAGATTTAAATAAATTTCATTTTGGCATATTTTGTTCTACTCCGTTTTAATACTAGTACATATACAATATTTATTTTTGTTATTTTAACATCACCATCACAATCTACAAAGAAAATGAATTAATTAATTGAGATCAAAATCAAATATCTACAAAATTAACTTTAATACTTGAAAGTTACAAAGAATGTTCTGTATTGTGTTATTAGATCAGCATCATCATCATCATTACAGCCCTTCACAAGTCCACTGCTGAACATAGGCCTCCCCCAAAGAATGCCACAAAGCACGGTCCTGAGCCACCTGCATCCATCGACTTCCTGCATATCTTACCAGGTCGTCACTCCATCTCGTGGGGGGACGCCCTACACTTCGCCTGCCGGTTGCCGAGGTTGCCACTCGAGAACCTTTCTTCCCCATCGGTTGTCGGTTCTTCGAGCTATATGGCCGGCCCACTGCCACTTCAGCTTACTAATCCGTTGGGCTATGTCGGTTACTCTGGTTCTACTGCGGATATCCTCATTCCTAAGTTTATCACGCAGAGAAACTCCGAGCATAGCCCTCTCTATAGCTCGCTGAGCGACCTTGAGCTTCCTCATACGGCCAGCAGTGAAGGACCACGTCTCAGTTCCATAAGTCATCACTGGCAACACGCACTGGTTGTACAATTTCGTTTTCAGGTTTTGAGGTATGTCTGACGAGAAGATGTGTCGTAGCTTCCCGAACGCTGCCCAGCCGAGTTGAATCCGTCGATTGACCTCTCGGTCGAAGTTGGACTTACCTAGTCGGACTATTTGTCCCAGGTAAACATACTCGTCAACAACTTCGAGCTTAGTGCTCCCAACAACTACCGGCATAGGTGTGACATGGACATTGAACATGATCTTTGTTTTGTCCATGTTCATCTTAAGACCTATCCGTTGGGAAACACTATCGAGGTCATTGAGCATAGTGCTTAGGTCCTCTAGCGATTCTGCCATAAGGACTATATCGTCGACAAATCGAAGGTGAGTGATGTACTCGCCATTGATGTTGATACCGTATCCTTTCCAGTCAAGAAGCTTGAAAACGTCTTCCAATGCAGCGGTGAAGAGTTTCGGGGATATGACGTCACCCTGTCTTACACCTCTCTGCAATTGGATAGGTTTCGTACTCTGGTTCTGTACTCGGATAGCCATCGTAGCCCTACTGTACAAGCACTTCAACACTTCGATATACCGACAGTCAACTTGGCACCGCTGAAGGGACTGCAGCACCGCCCAAATTTCGACGGAATCAAAGGCTTTCTCATAGTCCACATACGCCAGATATTATCTTAAAAATTTTAACCGAGTTCAAAATACGAGAAATTTCTATATTCCACGCGTATGTTTTTTTTTTTAATGTACGTTCACAGATTTCTCAGAAACGTCACGTGATCGGTTAAATGTTTTTTTTTTTATTTCATAGAAGTGGCCGTATATAAATATAAATAAGAAGTTACATTTCGAAGGGTAGAAATATAGAGTATAAATGAAATGATAGTTGTCACCTTTAAATAGTTAAACTTTTAACAAAAACTTCAAACCGACTTCAAAATTAAAAAAATTAAAAAATAATTTCAACATAACAGCTTCTGAAGTCGAAGCTTTAACAGGACTTCAGAAGCTATTATGAGGTGATTATGTTCTGTTCTTTTAGTTTAAGAAGTTTGTTCGTATTTTTTCATTTAAAATTTCATTATTTTATTCATTAACAGGACAAACAAGCAAACAACTGATGACATAAAACCTGTAAAGTCCACTGCTGAACATAGGCCTCCGTCATAGAATGCCTCATATTTACCAAGGTTCCTACGATTGGTAGGCGCAATCTTATTGTTATTTTGAGTTTTTCTCATGTATTTATTCAACTACTACTTATATAAATACTAATTATTTTATATTTAAGCTTAATAGTCCCCTTACTAATAAGTTCATATTCAAAAGTATTTGTTTAAACGATTCAAAAACTTATAGCGATAATTACAATACTTGAATAGCATTATGAATTAAGTATATGTGACCCTTTTTACTTGAAATGAAGCATTCCATCTATGTGCTAAGTGTGGGGTGGGATAAGGGTCCATCAGCATTTAGATACTTCGTCGAAGTACTACGCCACAGATACACGTGTCTTATGAGTCACAACTTCCACTGGCCGTCAAGTATGCTTATTTGTCACATTTACTTGTATAAATATCGGCAAGTATCAAGATCATTTAGTTTTCTGTTAATCTAAGGATAAATAGTATTTATCCATCGATTCTCGTTTACGTCTATCGAATGTTGTTTGTTTTACGCTCCGCTTCTGTTATTGGAGATAGCAATTGTTTCGTTTTCGCTTTTCTTATTTACCACAAGCTACGTAAACACTCTTAAGGTTTTGTTTGTATCATAGTGAAGATTATTTATTATTTATTATTTATTATTATCAATGGATTCTTATAGTTTGCTTAGGTAACATGTAACTTCTCAAAAAAAATTGCTTCATGCAATATTGTCTAGCTTTTCCATAACTTGGCAGTCTATTCATATTTTTTATTAAACGTGTAGAAGTGGTATAAGAATATCCGCATCGTACCGAGGGTGTCGTAGGCGGCAGCGACAGAGGGAAAATAAAACAGGAGATGGGCAGCAGCATCTTCCTGATAACAACTCAAAGCTCAAACGAAATGGGACGCGTAATGGAAATAGATAAATATACATGTATTTTTATATTCCACTTCGGATTGTTTTTTTTTTTTTTTAATTTTTAATGGTACTTTTGACCGTCCCGTTGATGTCGTAAGAGGCGACAGAGCGAAGCAAACCAGGGGATAAAGTAGGGGCAGCAGTGTTTTCCTAATAACAACTTTTTTTTAAATTAAAACTGCTCTTTTCAACCCACCTGCCAAGCGTGACGCTAGCAATTATACCACCTACGAGTATCTATTGGGCCTATAGTCAGTAGTGGACTTTTAATGTGCTGTAATGCTACTCGTAAATCGTCAAGTGGCGCTTCATTTCTATATTAAAATAAAATTAATGTGTGTGTGGCCTGTGGCCCATAGACATCTACATTTATCCTCAATCAAGATACAAAATGCAGATGCGCTGTCACCGTTGAGGTCTGAGATGGAATGCCGCGTTTCTAGTATAATAGGTCTCCGGTTCTCTACACTCACCATACGAAACACAGCAGCATTAAGCTGCTATTTGACGCTGGTGTTCTGTGAGAATGTGGTCCTACCGCAGACGAGCCGACCCATTCGTGCTACAACCATAATACAGCTGCAGCGTGGCTCTACCACGTATAAATAGTCCAAGATTCATCAAATGTAATAATGTCGTAAGCACGCCGAGACGAGCTTGCTTCAAATTTAGAATTTTGTCACGGTGAGATTGTGTTTTGTGGCATTCCTTGGGGGAGGCCTATGTTTAATAGTGGACTTATGAAGGGCTATAATGATGATGATGGTGATATTGTGCTTAAGGATTGGGGAAATTAGGGCAACTATACATATTAGGCAACCTAAGAGGGAAGCCTTTGTTTAACCTTTGTGAACATTTGATAGACTGAAACGGTAACCGTAATGCTACTTTACCTGCAGAGCGGTATGGTCACCAGCGCATCGCAGTGTGTGCGGCAGGTCACAGGAGCATTCAGCAGCGGGGCGTGCACTTAGCTCAGGGCAACGCCACTCCGCAGTTGCTACGTGTGACGCGCACAACACCGCCACGACACCCATAAGCAACATTCTGAAAGGATAAAAATATGTCATTTAAAAAGAGCAATTTTTTGGGTTTAATTACCATAGTATATTTACTGATTACAAGAAAAATATAATAGTAAACGCAAATGTAATTTTTATAAAGTTTTATTATACGTGGTAGAGCCATACTGCAGCTATATTAGTAGTATAGATGTAGCACGAATGGGTCGGCTCGACCGGGGAAGGACCACCCTCTCACAGAATACCAGTGTAATATGGCAGCTTCAAACTGCTGTGTTTCGTATGGTTAGTGTAGACCGTAACCGGAGACCCATTTTACTGGAAAAGAGGCATTCCATCTTAGTCCTCACAGGTGACGACGTATCTGCATTTTGATTCTTTATTGAAGATAGAAGTAGATGTCTATTGGTCACAGCAACCACTTACTACCGAATACGAATACGAATGTGTGCTCGTTTGTCACCCTACCCTATAAAAAAACGTAATAATGTCGTACAGACCGAATTTGTGCCGGTGGCTAGCCTTAACGGAGACTTCCCATATACGTAGGACGGGATTATAGTGCACGAATGTGTGTGTGAACACAAGTGAATTCTCTATTTCATCACACTCATAGTCCAATCTGACGGCAAGCAGACACTACTGGAGAGAGATCAGGCGCAGGAGCAATGGTTTTACGTGCTTTCCAGAGCACGAGGATGAATTTGCTTGACAAAAAAACCCAATATCCTGATCTTGGATTTGAACTCGGGACCCAATGAACAGCAGTCGCACTTTAGACCAATACACCAACGAAGTAGTCTAACACACTTTTCAACATGCCATGAAGCATGTAATAAGATTGGGAGAAGATAATGAAAGTCCATATATTATATTAGCTATTAACTGCGTAGAATATAGTGCATCACGTATAAGTGATGGAATTGTTTGGGATGGAGGAATCAGAATCAGTTTCAAGGACGTGGAAAATAGTTAGCCTAATAGCTAAAACTTAGGAAGGGGCATAGTTGTATTTACAACACTGCGTAAATAATTTACGTATTGTACATCATTACAGCCCTTCACAAATCCACTGTTGAACATAGGCCTCCCCCAAGGAATGCCACAAAGCACGGTCCTGAGCCACCTGCATCCATCGACTTCCTGCATATCTTACCAGGTCTTCACTCCATCTAGTGGGGGGACGCCCTACACTTCGTCCGTCGGTACGAAGCCGCCACTCGAGAACCTTTTTTCCCCATCGGTTGTCGGTTCTTCGAGCTATATGGCCGGCCCATTGCCACTTCAGCTTACTAATCCGTTGGGCTATGTCGGTCACTCTGGTTCTACTGCGGATATCCTCATTTCTAAGTTTATCACGCAGAGAAACTCCGAGCATAGCCCTCTCCATAGCTCGCTGAGCGACCTTAAGCTTCCTCATACGGCCAGCAGTGTACGTATTGTACAAACAAGTAAACAATTTATTATCCTAAATTGATCTTAGATCCAGCACTCGTAATCAAGAATGGGCCTAACAGCAAATAAGCATGCCTTGCTGGGCGATGTGGTCGTAAATTCGATTATGAAATAAAGTTTTTACGAAAGTCGCTGGAGCATAATCTCATATAAATCAAGGGAAATAACATCGTGAAATGAAATAGAAACCATCTCAAAAGGCAATTCCGGTCATATCCTTTGGTACTTGTAAAAGAATTGTTACTGTAATGCGTGTGGCTGCGACGTAATGGGGCATTTCCACTGAGTGACGACCGGACGACGAAGTTTTAACACGGCACAAGGCATACGCTGACGAATTTAATAGTTTATTGAGCAATATACTGTAATTGTGTAAAACACACAAGAAATGTAGAAAAATATAAATAAAGTAACTTCTAGTCCGTTTACCAAGACCTCAGCACCGTCAGCTCGAGTACCAATCAACAAAAACATAGAAACAGCAAGACTATACATATAGGTTGGATTCCAATGACCTCCAGACCGAGTTTCTGTTACAGCGACCAGTTTTAACGAAGTCCATCAGCTATCTGCGTATAACTATGTGCGAACCCACAGATGCGCTCTCTATTCCATAACTATTTATTCATAGTCTTATAAAGCTATTTTAGCGAGGCACGTGGGTGAGACCCCACGCGACTGCCTGCATCCAGGCTGATAATGAATATTTCTTGTAAGCAAACCCCAATAAATCATTTAATTTTGCACCAACCCGATATTCGAACCTTGAACCATGCCAACGAGATCTGATTATAATATCTTTGTGTCAATAAATAATGAGGTCCGAAAAAAATATAAATAATAATACAAAATTTTTGTAAAACTGAACTAACAAACAAACGGATTGTAAGTGTTGGTTTGCGATCTTTAATTCTACAGAAAAACTTGAATAGACAACTTTCTGCGATGAATCTAAGAAGTCACAATCTACACACATCGATCAAAAACCTTTGTCAAAGGCTTTGACCTTCATAAAATTTTTTCCTCGAAGTTTTTCTTTTATTTTCGGAAATAAATAAAAATCGCAAAGTGCGAGCTCGGGGCTCTAGGGCTGGTAACCCATTAATTTCTCCTCTGGCGTCGCCAAGTAGTCGATTGTTTGCTTGGCGGTGTGCGACGAGGCGTTGTCGTAGTGAAGGAGGATCCTACTGCGAGGTCATTTCTCCCGTACGTATTCCAAGATAAGTGACAAACAATTGTTAGTGTACCACTATGCAGTAACTGTTTTTAGATCCTTTAAATCAATTGTTGCTTAATGACCTGTCCTTCCGAAGAACGAGGCCACCATCTTTTTTCCCACGCTTCGACCTCTCTTTACTTTAATTGGCAACTCCTCGGAAGGAAACACTCAGAAAGCAGACTGTATCTTAGTTTCAACAATAAATCTAGATTTCGTTACCCATAAGTATGTCGAACACAGCATTTGAGTCACCTCCGTTAAATTTTAAATATTTGGACCATTTTACGACACCAATCAACACGTCGGAGTTTTTGGGCCTCTGTCAAATTATGAGGTATCCACCGGGCACAAAGCTTTCTGACCGCTAAATGTTCATGGAGGATTTTGTGCACTTGACTCATACCAATGCCTAAACTTGTCCGAATCTGCTGATAAGTCACTCTTTTGTCAGTCTCTATCATTCGCCGCACAAGACCTTTCCTGTACACTACAATAACAACAGTTCGTAAAATTTCCGCTACCTTTATTCACTTAAACCAATGCCCTACATACGTTGAGAATAAGAACGTATTACACGACTATTGATAACAGTGGGTGATGGACGGTCGTTGGCCTATCGTTAAGGACCCTTAGTTAAAACGGTGATCGTCCTATATCTGTCTAAAATATCATACCTAGATCATGTACTGGGATTGACACAAATTCAAACTAATATAGCAATCACGTATGTAAACAGAATACCGTGTAGTGGTGTAGTAAACACAACCATTACCTAAATCGAACCGTAGGTCAGTCTGCATAGTCATAAGAGGCGACCGAGGGAAACAAACCACGGGATAGTCATCAGTGTCTTCTTAATAACAGCTAAAAAATAAAAAGTTATACGCGGTAGAGCCCTGCTGCAGCTATATTAGTAGTATAGTTGTAGCACGAATGGGTCGGCTCGACTGGGGAAGGACCACGCTCTCACAGAATACCAGCATAAAATGGCATCTTGATACTGCTGTGTTTCGTATGGTGAGTGTAGGAGAACCAGAGACCCATTTTACTGGAAAAGAGGCATGATCTTAATCCTCGCGGGTGACGACGCATCTGCATTTTGATTCTTTATTGAAGATAAATGTAGATGTCTACGGGTCAAGCAACCACTTACCATCAGGTGAACTGTGTGTTCGTTTGTCATCCTATCCTTTAACAAAAAGCTGCGGTTGTCAACCCACCTGCCAAGCTTGGCAACTGTGTCAAATATCCCCCCTAATGATTTCTTATATTTACGCGAACACTACACATTTTTAAATAAAACTAATTTTACGGATTTTATCGCGTATATTAACTTATTTTTAACTTATTTTTATATTCCCGACGTTTCGGGTGCTTGGTTCGATTTACGCAAAAATGCTGCGTAAATCGAACCAAAAATTAATATTAAAAAACTGAAGGTAGCCGGGCTAACTATGACAGCAGGACGTCAAACAACTCAGTCCCCCGTGACCACGGGTGCTGGAAAGCACCCGAAACGTCGGGAATATAAAAATAAGTTAAAAATAAGTTAATATACGCGATAAAATCCGTAAAATTAGTTTTATTTAAAAAAATATCCCCCCTATAAAGTTATATATAAAGGAGGCCTATGTTCTGCAGTGAAGTAACGATAACAGTAATGGATGTAGAGAGTTAAATACAAGGTAATTCAGCAGTAAATATACTATGTCATTGACACTACGTCATTGCCACTAAATCTAATAATTAAAATTTTGATGTCATAATATCATCAGAAATCAGTGCTAAGACACGGTATATAGAAAAATTTAATCTCCAACTACACAAGCTATTATGTTTGTGGAAATTATTATACTTTTTAAGGTTCCGTACCTCAATAGGAAAAGCGGAACCCTTATAGGATCACTTCATTGTCCACTCGTCCGTCTATCTGTCTGTCAAGTTGAAATTAAAATTGATACCCCCACAAATACATAGGTCTACGGTCCTTTATATCTCTATAATAATCGGACTTCTAAGTCAACGCAATAAAAAAATACGACCATTTATGCGAAATATTTTGATACTCGCAAATAAATAAAAACTTATAGGATACTCTCGTTTACTTAAAAATTTGGCAAAAAGCAAGATCTGACAGGACAAGTAAATAAAATGTCTCAAAAACGTTAATATGTCGTTTTATGACATAAAAAATTTTTTTGCAATTACAATCTAACATTTACAGTTAAATAATTGACCGTGCCGTATATCGATGTATGGGAAAACATTTACGTATACTACAAAGTTAAGTTTGTCCTTCAACTTTTTTTCGTCAGAGTAATGTTTTATGTGTGTTTATGAACGTCAGTAG